TCTATCTCATAAAACCACGTTCTATATTACATCGAACTAGGATTATTTTAGAAATCGATATGAGATTCAAAGTGTAAAAATGTCTAGTACTTTGAACGTTTTAGAAAATTATTCTAGATAAAGATGTATGGAACTACCGGAAATCACTTCAGATTCCTTTTCCTTATTCTGTAAATTCTTTGATTGGAATATGAATGCTGCTGGAAGTATGAACATTTTCACAGGACAATGATATAAATGGAACTGTAAAACTTTTTTAAGTGTTACAGCGATATTTCGTTGGCCTCCGTATTAGCGCACTGCGCCGAACGCGGATAGCATGATGTTGTAGTCGCAAGGGAGCAATTGAATCGAATAGACGTATTGTACCGTAGCGCATCGTATTGTATTTCAAACTTTTATATCATTATCATTAGAAGCTTCATTTCATCGAATTGTCTTAAATATAACTGCATAAATATTGTACAATCCTATACTAATTATAGTTGTCTGGTTCAACAGGTTACTACAGAAACTAACTACTGCCTACGTCTTTTAAACTTGAGCTGTAGTAGTATCTGCAGAAACTGCCATGGTTGCTGGGGTTACTATATACTTTGCTCACGGAAGCACGCACAAGTGTCAGTCAGATTGCGACAGTTGCACAAGCAACATTAGACCGAGCTCGAAACTCGTACGAGCAACAACGATTAAGGATCACATTTCAAAATTCTTGTGCATGCTCCGGGGGTTCTATGACCCCATGTTCTCACCACACGGGGTCTCTGGCGCCACGTCAGGGGGTTCTATGACCCCATGTTCCCACCACACGGAGTCACTGGCGCCACCTCCGGGGGTTCTACGACCCCATGTTCTCACCACACTGAGTCACTGGCGCCACCTCCGGGGGTTCTATGACCCCGTGTTCTCATCACACGGAGTCTCTGGCGCCACCTCCGGGGGTTCTATGACACCACGTTCTCATCACACGGGGTCACTGGCGCCTCCTCCGGGGGTTCTATGACCCCACGTTCTCACCACACGGGGTCTCTCACCACATCGAACGCACAGTTTTATCTATATAGAAGCATGTGACAATTTCAAAAAGAATTGCTGTTTGTTAAAGGATTGCATACAAATAATCAAATTACAAAACGGTATCAGTTAGAGATGGCGTGCAAAATCACTAACGATGACTTATCACAGTGATCGCCGAATCTCAATGACGGTCGTGATTTAACTTCATTTACGACCGTAATTGCGATTTTGTTATCTTGAGTGAATTTGCTCACTGCGACCGCAAGTCCTTGATCTTTAAACAGAAAAACGTATTCAATATTATTTTACGATGAATTACATTACCATTTATGTTTGTAAAAGTCAGTAGAAAAAAACAAGAAATTCTAAAAGAATGATTTGCTAGGTAACATGTAAATTATAATTTATAATCATTAATTTATTCATTATTCTTCATTGTTTCTAATTATTCCTTCACTTTATAGGATATAACTCGAATTTTTGTTTTGATGTCGTTAATATAAAATATACAGATTATGTGTCGCGTGTAAAGAACTGTTAGGTTTCTCCACGAATCAGAAACGATCACGAGAAATCACGAATCACTGTGAAAAATCATCGTGATTGGGAACGAACGTGATCGAATCACGAGTGATGCACAAGTACCAGTTCACGTCATCTCTAGTGAGCACACGACTCAAGGAACACGAGTGATGCACCAGGTTGGGTGGGTACATTCAATCAGCTGTTACAGAACACCAGAAGACAACAGGACACAGAATACTCTTCAACGTAGCTAAAGTTATACCAAAGACCAATGGATACTTTCCCAGAAAATACCGGGAAACGTTGGAGATACTGAAACACCGTGTATAATAACATCAACAGGGATACAAGCCACCACCTTGACTCAATCTGGAGCCCCCTCCTCCTAGTTTTTTAATTGTTCAGAATTGAATGCACCGGAAAATAAGCAAACTCCAGTATATTAGAGGAGCACCACAAGGCACACACCAGTATCAGTGTGTTTTTCGACCCCCTAATGAAGCTAGCAGCAATGCTTGCGAAAAGTTGGGAAAACAATTCCACACGGACACGGCTTCCATCTGAAAGTCTCAACAGTCAGAACTGTATGATGTTGGGCCATGAATGCTTCAAATCTCTGATTCTGTGAATAAACATTTCTGATATATCTAAAAATAGCGGAACGTAAAGTGTGTATATCCATCCCACCCTATATATAATATGTAGCTGCGTCGCACATCTGAACAGCCGAGCTTGGGAAAAGCGCTCGAGTAACTGGTTACCGATTCCTGCACGGTTCCTGGAAATTAGCCCTCTACAGCCCCAGCTCGTGCGGGAATCGAATGTCTACTATATGTTCTTCTACATGTATACATATTGAGAAACTATGTTAAATAAATAGTGAGAAACATATAACATACTCAGTACTAGTTTAGATTCGCAAAAATTGGAGTTCCACAACTTTTCTATTGAAAAGGTGATATATTTATAAAAAAGTACAAATAATATATATATTAAAAACTGAAATGAATTTCTCATTCGTAACTTTTTCATTACCTGACTCTATAAAACTACACCTTTGTATATTTTCGCAGTCCGACATACTTCATACTCAAGCACTCTTTAAAGGGGTTCACTCAATATTTATATATTTAAAAACAAAGGATCTGTAAAAACGATAACACAATAAACAATTTCTTCCGTCTACAGCGAAAGACAAAGCATTTCTTGTATTTTAGAACAGCGATAAAGCTATATTGAATTACAAACGTAGCAGCAATGTCGTTATATACATTGAAATTTTTAAATTCAGATGCGTTTATTACCGATAGAACGTTACACGTGCATCTGACAGTACAATACGCGCCACAGTTCGTCGTAACATAGACGGGATAGCTGTTTTCCGTAACGTGGAAAGCAAAAGTAACGTGGATAACTATTTTGTTCGTTTCTGTATATTTGAAGTAAATGCGGAACCATGACAACTTGTAAGTCTCTTAATAAAATCAAATAAAATTACATTTTCCCCATTTACATTTAGTTATAAGACACACCAGAATTGCCCAAATCCACCTCATTTTAACTAGAAGAGTTACCGTTCTATAGTTACGTATGATCTTATGCAATTTCTACCGAAATCCCCGCACCTGTTTCAGTCTGAATCGAAGTGAAAAGGGATGAACAGTATATTTCCCGAGGCTAGGGTTCTTGCAAACAATGCACTTGCCTAAACTGGTGAATCATCTGCGGAGCTGCAGCAGCAACGAAAAATTTCCTATCAGATCGTATAACGTGACAGACGTCTACGAATAAGGCACAGTGCGTTATGTCAGTCTGAAAGCTTCCCGAAAGGAACGAATTGCAGTCGTATCGAGCGAGTAATTGTCATTCGTTAAAGAATTGTCGTGCACTCATACAGCTCCTTGATATTGTCACATCAACGTGCTCAAGTGTTGATTCTTATTTCTATCAAAAAATTACATAATGTATGTGCATGAGTCACAAGGTGTATAGGGGGGACGTGTAAACGTCAAAATCGTGCTACTCCGATTTTCTTGTATTCTAGGTACGGTAAACAGATACTGATCTGTCCGGTTCATTGTTCGATCTCAATTGGATCTTCCGCGAACGGCAATAGAATAACGTTAGATTGGTAATTGTTAATCGACCGAACAGAATACGAACATCAGTTACTACATACTCCGTCCAATGTCGGTCGTTCAATGTGCTGCCATTAGAATTTTTACAACGAAACGTTCCTTCGTGTTAGAATTTGTAAGGAATATTCAGGACTTTTGGGAATAAAATAACAATATTGCATTCATCATTTATCGCATTAAGTAATTAGTCGTACGATAATGATTGCGTTTATCGGTTATTGGCCGAAATTTTTGCAATTCATGATAATTGAAGTGATGACAGATTTGGTGTAATAGATTTCTCAAGGTTAAATGACTAATGTATAAATGCAATTGTGACAATATTACGTTCATTGCAGTATCAGTTCGTTTTTCGTCTTTGTGCTGTGCATCAAAATACGGTTTATTGTTAATGCTAAAAACTATTAAAGTTTCTAGATTTTCTTAAAATATATACTTTAAATTTCAACATCTTTTACAATATTATTTTTCATTGAAGTTCACGGAATATATTATGAGACATATACTGACTTTTCATCAACATTTCAGCTTGGATCTGTGCAAGAAATTCTAGCAGGCCATTTGCAATGAACAGAATTCATCATACTGTCTGGCGGTGAATAGAAAGAGTACCCATGAGAAATGGCAATTCTCAGATTGAGTACATTGAAGCATAGGTGTCTGATTTCATAGCTGGACGTGTCGCCATTGTATCATAGCACTGAACCAGGTATTTGTTAATCGAACAAAGTAGTTGTTCGTACAGGATTTATTTTGTGAGAAATGCCAGCACCACCTCCACCTCTCTCAAGTTTGCCAGAGACACCTATGTGTGAAAAAACAGAAGTGAGCGATGCGGATTCCCTGCCGTCTTGGGCCAAAATTACCCTCACCTCTGCAGAGGCAGAGATTGAGAAGCTGATAGCCCGAAATGAGTTAAAGGATGCTGAAGTTACATATTTTTGTCAAGTCGAACCAATTTTGCAAGATGGGCCACAGTAAGTTTTATTTTTAAATCATTCACAGATGATTACTACCAAATAAGCAATGTTCTTACACATTTTTTCCACAAAGGAAAAGTTTATTTGAAGTATAAAAGTATAATTATTATGCTACATTATTCAACAGATGCGGTTTGGTGGCACTTGCTATGGCATCACAAGAATACACAAAACCAGTTTCTGTGAGCCAACTTCTAGCAGAAGCTCGTGTGAGAGGCTTTACCCAACATGGAGAAGTATACAGTGTTGATTTCATGGGCACACTAGCTGCTGAATATTTACCTGACCACAGACCAGATATTTTAGTAGATCTACAACAATGCCCGGATACCGTAACTCATGCTTTAGCTCATGGAGCTATGGTATTGATTCCATACGATTCTGATTTCAACCATGCTCCCTGCTTAAAGAGAGGCCATAAAGCCCATTGGGCATTACTCGTTGGTCTAATTTCATCCAGGTACACTTTTAAACAGTTACACATTGATCTGTAGGAGGAAGTGAAAATTGAAATCATTATTATAATTCTGATACTAACTTTTAAAACAATAGAAATAATGTTTATAATCATTTTGAACAAATTATATAACCCAAAGTCTGGCTTTGTTCTAATTACTTTTAAAGTATTTATAACAGCTCGTTATAAGATTTAATAAAATCTCTACTTTATAAATACTCAATTTAAGAAATTATTACGGAAATTTTGTTATTTGAATTTAACAGTGTAAGATTTTTAAATTATTTGAAGTAATTTTTAGATTCAAGTTTTTAAAACTTAGTTCTGCTATTCAGTTTGGATATTTATCGATGAAAACAACGACGTCTAAAACTTTGTGAAGAACAATTTTATAGAAAATCATTATTCCATCACTTATTACTATGGGTACTATGGTTAGAGTTTCGACGGTGCTAACAAAATTGTTTTAAATTATTGTTGTTATTTCGGTTTTTACACCCTAATTTGAAATAAATGCAATTACTCTAATTAATAACTCTCAGTTAAGGAAAATAAATTATATATTTTTCAGGCAAGGATATCATGTCTTAGCACGCCATGGAAAATCTCGTCATTTAGCTTGCTGGCGGCTGCGCGATTTAATTGAAAGTAATGGTAATTTGGAAGAAGAAGGGACAGCCAGACACGCTGGGGGATATGTTATACCAAAGGGAGGAGTCGGAGGACAGAGAGGTTTACGCGGTAGAGCATTGGCGTTACATCCGTACATATAAAGCCATGTACAAGAATTGTAGGTAATTAATATCACAGTGAAAGACAGAAATTACTACTATAATATTACTATATCCACATTATGGTATATGGTAAATATTCAAGGTGTAACAATATTTGCACAGCTGTCAAAAAATTTGTTCATAAAATATGATGCTTTTAAGTACCATGTGTTTCAACTCACATTGCAAATTTTTCTGACATCCAGTAGAGGGATAACAATCTCCAAATTTTTCGTATTAGATAGAATAACAGATGGTATTTCATTCGTTACACCACGACACACAATGTAAATAATAATTTCGTATGTTTAACTTACATGCACGCGACCTCTTTGAAAATTTTGTTGTGTGTCGAGTATTAAACTCTTCCTGTGATGCTATACGTACTAAGCAGGCGTGTAATTTAGTCTGAAAAATAGACATGTACACGTGCATGAAAGGGCAAACGTGAGGAAACAAAGTCTAAGAAAATATCTGCATTATATAAGTATCTAAGTATCCTAAGTGTACTAGCTAGGGAGTTATCAAAATCATAACTAGCCGGGACGAAAAGATCTAAGTATATTTATTTAGCAAAACGAAACAAAAGTTTTCGATAATCATTGTGGAATATTGTTTAAAGTTGGCACTATAAATAAAGACTAAGTCTATTCAAAGAGCCTCACAATTGCATTTGAGGCAATAAAACTTAATGTTCATGTGCTATATCAAATTAAGCGCATTGCTTTTAAGATGTAAAAGTGATAAATAATTAGCAGAATTGAAATGATTACCTTATACTATCATGTGGTAATTATGCCAGTCTTTTTATCAAATATTATGTACAGGCATGTAAGAGTAAAAATCGTAGGTATTATTCCATATTATCAAAAACGTAACTGATTTCATACTTTTCTATTTACGATAGATGTTACAATATTTTGTTGAATGTCTTGAAAGCAATGTGCTTTTAACAAAAATCTTACTGTGTAGATTATATGATATGCTTGTTTTACTATTTATTTACCAATATGTAAAGTATGAGCATAGTCCTCATAATTGATATATAAAAATATATATATGTATACACTAAAATATAAAACCTGAAGATACCTTATGACTGGCTGGTTTCTTCAGTTATGCGGTATCTTAAGTGTTTTCTATCAAATCTGTCAGTAAGAAGCATAAACCAGGTTCAGAAGAGATGCTATAAATTTGTAGACTCCTTAAATGGTTTCAAATCGAATAAAAGAAACCAGTAAAAATAAAGTGTACCCAAGTGCCGCAAAATATGAAGTTTATTTATTAACAGAAGAATTGTATACTGTGCTGCTTATGTTTACAAACGTTTCTGAAAATTTATTGTCTCGTCATAATTGAAATACTCTGTAAAAATGTTTATTCGTGCAAGCATGTTATCTTCTTAACTATTTGTGGAGATAATCAAAATGCATATTTTCCTGCTCTGATTCTGAAACCGAAATCATCTTCGTAGTAATTATATAACGTCTTCCGTTACTTACCGAAGTGCTGTTTCTTTATATAGTTAAAAACTAAATACTCGGCTAGGAAATGTTTGTTTTATTTCGTATTTATATCAATGTATTTTAATGGGATAGTTTGAAGGTTTTTCAAGAGTTCTATTGTGCCCATTATGTATGCGATATGACAGGTAATAATTCTGTTGTATCACCTGTGATTCAAAGTGCAACAATAGCTAAGCGGTACATGTATTGTGTTATGTTGTAAGAGATTAATATGTGATCATTGTTAATTCTTGTTTCTTTGTGTACACGCATTTTACTTATTTGTTATTGGTTTTTAGCTTTAATCATGATAAATATAAAGAATGTTATAATTTACATATATTTGATTATGATTATTTTATCTTAAATTTGTCTTCTGCGTCAACCAAATATTTTGGAATATTCAAGAAAGCATTGCACCGATGTTTTCTCTGTTATAAATTTAAAACCACAACAAAAGAAGAAACAGAGAATGTTATGAAACAGAAGAAGTATGTTCTCTGCAAGGGTATTAGTATAAGTGCATTGGAGTACAATAGAATACTGAAAACTGCGTTACATTTATATTTCAAACTTACAAACATCAACAACACAGTTCCATTTTATTTTTAAATCTTAGCTTCTCTTTAATGTTGCTTTCTTTTCTAAACATACAGATGGCACATTCTTTACTACTTCCTAATTATATTAACATCTACTTGTGTCCTGAGATGTGATACAAGTCAGCATCTTATTCACATCTGTATATAAATACAAAATCATTGAACAACTCTGCTTTTCCGTAGAGAGTTAAAGACATCGCTAAAATAATGATTCATGCTCCATTTGGATCCTATTACATCACGAGAATGTTAAAGATTAAACTGTTGCCTACATGAACGATACGAACAAATTACTACAAAACAACCTATAGTTTTATCGCCGTTTTACGCATTGTACTCTGTGTGAAAAAAAAAAACTCTACTACGGCACCGTGCTCTAGTATAAAACTACCATACACGCCCAGGACACAAGGCGTCTATTCTATAGATTAACCCTTTGAGCTGCAAGTGTTTACGAGCGTCATTCGAACAGCGTGTCACAGCGTGTAGCGTGCAGTGGAACGCTCAAGGGCTTTCATCGAACATGTTAACAAACGCGACAAACGGTACTATTGCACGTCGAATGTTCGTATCTTAGCACCGAAAGGGTTAATAACAACGATATCCTGTATTCAAATATTACGTTTAATAATATACATATATCACATGTAGGTATTTCGTACTTATTATATCAACAATAGGGGAGTTGAATTAAGAAAGGCTAGCTAATTAAATTATTAGAAATTTATATTTTCAATGTCTCTTCAATCACTATCTCTTTCTCTGCTTGCTCGTCTCTCGATTTTTGATCGAAAAAAAATCAAAAATTTTCAATACTGCATGTTTCAATCTATTCGGTGATTTACTCGTAATTAAATTCTTAGAATCTCGAGACAATTAACAAAAGGACCACGTGGTACAAACTTCTTCGGACCTGTCAAGTACGCTAAACGTGGATTAATCATTAGCACTTTACAAAGCTCGTTTGTGAAATACAAGTGTGTATTTATATACAATATAAGGGCGTTTCAGGTAACTTGATCACTTTGAATAATAACTTAACGGTGCATTTTATGAAAATTTTGAAGCGTAGAATTTAAATGGCATCAAGGGACACATTTTACAAGGTACGTGCTTTTTTTGTGAGTGGAGGCATTTCAGAGATTTCAAGGTCACCTTGATTTTTTTTAACGCAATGACTTATTTGTTTGTATCATAGATCGATAGAGTATCAAATTTTGAGTAAAAATGTGTTGACCTTCACACGTCCTAAACCTAATAATTAACGAGATATTTACAAAATAATTTTTAATACGTACATACTTACTATCTGGAAGTTATGGGACCTATAGGACCATTTAAGTTCCACGCTTCAAAATTTTCAGAAAGTGTACCGTTAAGTCATTATTCGAGATGAACAAGTTAGCTGAGACACTCTGTATATTTATACGTAGAAACTTAGATTTAATATTGTTAGCCGTGAATTAAATTTGTTGCGAGGTAACGAGGTCCATATATTAATATTATTGTTATTATATAATATCCTGTACACACCGTGTCTTACGTTTTATGAGAAAGCATAAATTTAGCGTGGAAATATTTCAGGATATCACGAACTATGTAGGAAATAATATATCTCCGACGTGTATATCAAATATTATCTTAACAATTTTCACATTTTTGTTATACATTTGCTTTCTCGACAGTTTATTTGCATAATGGATATCTGTGAACGAAAAATAAAATTTGTTCATTTTTGGTACGTTCGTAAAGTAAAATTTGAGTTAATCGTTTAGGTGGATGCACATAAAATATCGTTATCCTGCAATCAGAATATTTCAGTATCACAGTACAAGATCTACCATACTAAGGAAAGTGTCTACTTCTTTGGGGAATGTTGAAAAGAAAGATAAGCATTTTCTAATAAATATAGATACGATGTATTTTTGAAAAAGATGGTGTTCTTAAGGAAGATAGGCAAATTCAGGCGATAAAATGTTGTTCAATAAATTATGAATGGTATTGGGATCTATAGTTTGCAATATGGTCACCATATATTACAATGTTACTCGTATGTTGTACTTTTGAAAAACACGGTAATAATTTTTCGTACGTAAACATAAACATTCAGTCCAACCCATGAGATTTACCAAAATTTAAATAATGTTATCAATATTAGCCACTTATGTCTCAAATAATTTTGTCAATAACATTTATCCCATTAAATATCTGTTTTCTGCGTTATATCGATAAAACACTTTTTATTTCATATGAAATTCTCTATCACCCCTTGTTAACGTACAAGCTTCTTCACGTTAATAGAATAAAATTAATTGAACTCAGATCCAGTCGCACCATAGTGCAACATAAAAACTGAAACTTAAGAGTTTCTCGAACTTTCCGATGTTATCCTATAATTCGTTGTCCATATTTGTTCATGTTGTAAGCATTCAGATGATTTTTTCCAGATTAAATTGTTCCCTAAAAATCTACAGAATCAACTATAGAAAAGTCCTTGCCCACTACAATGTATTCAATATCTACCAAATCGGAATCAGTTGTTAAGAACAGTAAAACAATTAACATAGAAATTTTCAATTATTACGTACATAGGACACTTCGGAAAAGCTCTATGTGCTTTACTGTTTTGTTTAAAACGAAAATACATTTCATGTGCACGAGCCTAATGGTAATTGGAACTCGCAGCAAATCTCATTTCAAGAAAGGGTCAAAGGAAAGGAAAGAGACTGGTTAGTTACAGGGTGTACACTGGAAATCCTGTTGTCCCGGTTGTCGTTCTCGTGGTATGTCTCCCACTCGAACGGAGGATTTTACAACCCCGTTAATTGAACTCTCTAATATTATTGATAACAAGTTTAATAATATATACATGTACGATTAGACGTCGCCGTTTGTAAGCAGTACAATAAAGACGTCTAAAAATCTCGTATGGAAATGAAGACGCCATCTAATGAACATTTAGTCGCTGTACCAAACACGCGCGTTCAATATATTAATTACTTCTTTTAATTATTGTAAGCTTTGAGCTTGGGCGTTGCCCACCCACACGTGTGTTTTAAAACTTACTATACACCGACGAACAATAGCAAATTTATTATTATTCCGTTTCCTTCTTCTCTCTTTAGAATACTTCTCCTGGTGAACGTGCTCACGGGTCATCGAGGTTCCCTGTTCAAACGAACCGAAAACTCTTGATCCGTTCTTTCCGTGTTCCTCGTAAGCCGGATAGAAAACCCCGTTAAATCGCGATAACGTGACCCAGCACGCTATGATTCTCGATGATACATATAAATATGCACTCTGGGCTGGATATTCCAGCGAGAGCCCAGGGACGTGTCGATAGATCCCGGTTCGAATTACAACGCGGTCTCATATTTTGACTAGAATCTATAAATTATCATTAAGTCTTAACGAGCGCGACTGGGTGGAGGTCGAATGGAATTACCGTGTCGACCGAAACCTTGGAACGAACACGGAACGAAAACGTCTCGAAGAGGCGTGGACCGTGAGGCACGTGTCACCAGGTATCGTCGCTCGTGTCACTTACTACGTTTCTAACAAGAATTCATCGCGTCGCCCTTACAAAGCTTATAAATAAACTTCACGACGGACAAAAGTCGACGGCTGAACGCGTAGAGTTTCTACTAGCGAACGGAAGGAAAGAACATAGGGGGGTTTGGGAACGATAAACATAAGATCGAGGTACATTACAACATCGTCAAATCGCTTACACGCTATTGATCAGGCTATCGCGGAAGAAATAAAAGAGAAAACACAGTTGTATTTCTGCCCCAAATACTGCACGTTCGTGAGTCCACGAATGGTAATTATAGTCTTCTCGAACGTTTTCGCGGTTACGAAATCTTGTCGTTCTTTTACGCGTGAAACGTCGGGACTCGGGATAACCGTCGGCCATCTTGGGGACACACTTGAACCAGTTGCCTTCAGATTTATTGTGACTGTAGTTGTTAAAAAAAAAAAAAGAAACATGAGAACGGTTTCGATCGAAATGTCTGAGGAACAGGTCAGTGTGGTCCGGAAATGGTAGAGACGTTATCGCTGTTGGTGAACGGTGACGAAGAAACAATGATATCGTGCAAAACTGCGAAGCAACGCGCGAACACTGTTCAGATGCTTCAAAACTGTGGGAGCGTATAATATCTATATGTACGTGTAGATATATATACATACATTGTATGGCAGGTTCGATTGCTGAAAAAACGACCCTCAGCATTGCTCAACGAAAGAAGGCAACGAACGTCGTGTGCACATGTGATCGTTGGAACGTCACATCATTGACTGTCTAAAACTCGTGTGGTCTCACATGTCCGAGGCTGAATGAATTGACTTCTCAAGGTCACTTAGGGATACTACCCCCATCATATCGCTCAAATATTTTTTTTCCATTTCACTTCCTAATTTTGAGAATTAAGGAAGGTCCATGAATGAAATATGATGTTTATATTTAGTATTGATTTCATTTGTCATATTAAACAATTAGAATTCAACTAAAAACTGTTAGACAGCTAGTTGTCCGTTTAAAGATTTACTAAAAAGTTAAATTGTCGTTATGTAGTCAGAAGAAGGTAGTAGTTAAGTTCATGCTTCTTTTTTTTTAAATAAATTTCATTTCAAGATGGAATTAAATTTGTTTGTATGCTTTTTGATTAACCAACAACGCATAACAAATGTTTTTGTTTAGACTTTACCACGTTCATATTTTTTTAAGACGGATTAAAGTCACTTGACATTGTTCGAGATTATTAAGAGTGTTCTCACCATAATATTCAACTATTCGAAAATATGAACAAAAAAGAAAGAGTAAATATTAACAAAAACTCTGACAAATATTTGCTGCTCGGGTCATATGAATTCTTCATGACAACATTCTTCTGACAAACATTTTCTAAACGTGACGATTAAAAGTGGCCGTTTTTGGTAACACAGAACTTAGGAAGAACTAGCGCTGTTCAATCCATCAGCAAATAATACCCCGCAAATAATCTTATCATTATTTAAAGCTTCTAACAGCACCAATAGTTTCCGTTTCCTTTTTTTAATTCCTTCTTCAAGAAGAAATGTTGCTCTGCCAACAAATTAATATTATAAACTGAGAAATACTATTTAAACAATCTTTTTTTTTTTACATATTTTGAACAGTATTTCTTCTGGAACGTTGATCTATTAACATTTTATGAATAATTTAATACGAGCTTACTATATCAAGACCTGAAAAGGCTGGACAGATGAATCTGTATTTCCTCGCACCTTCACTTTAAATTAAATTTCAGACGTTAGTAAGACCACAATACCACGATCAGCCATTGCCTTCTACTAGCTTTAAGTCAACTATTTTGCCGGGAGTTTGCATAACCGGGATAATGCTCTTAGCCGTTAAGAATGTAAAATGTAGGACTATGTTTGCAGTTCGATACTCGTTAAGAACTAATTACGGACTAGCAAAGAACAGGGGGAAGTGGGCTATATGAATGTATATATGTATTTATACAGAAAAATGCAAAAGTATTCGTATAGTAAAACTGGGGAAACAAAAAGCTATACTTCCGATATTCATAATTATATGAAAATTTAACGGTGTATTATACACTAACTGCAAGTGTAATAATTACACAGGAACAAAAGTTAATTACACCGAACAGTAATACTACCATTAATGTCTATTAATGGAATTATACTCTTGCATTCTATTATTATATTATTCATAAGTTGCGAATCTTTATACAAATTTATTTCTACCATTAGGACTTCTGTTAGATTTAGTAGTCCAAGAAAAATTTAACTAAATGTTATTGACTTTGTGCGCACTCACATTTACCATAAATCCAAAAAATGAACAGTTTGAGTATTAATGCTATGTTAATATGATGTTATTAGGAACTGTTCTCACCTGAAAGTTTACGAATAGAATGCATTAAAGTTTCACCGAGTAAGGTGATATATTGTTTTATTCTTTGAATACTGATATAGTAGCAGCATTAACTTTTCTTCCTATGGTTTTCGTTACCATTGAAGTTTACGTATAGCATATAATTGTACATGTCTAAAATAAACTGAAGAATGCTGAGAGACATTGATTATTAAAAGTAAACAAAAACATGAAAATTAATGCAATCTTTATGCATATTTGTAGTTCCGTACTTTTCTTCCATACTCTTCTAACACGTACGCTGCTGGCGGTTCCGATTGGAGGCATAAAGTGACCCCGATCGGAGTCTCCAGCAGCGGCAGCGAATATGTTAATTTCATTTTTCTACAACTTTGCCCTTAAATACAGATTATTTATTCCCCATAATTGAAAGAAGCACGTAATCAAATTATACACTGCAGGAATTATTTATACTCTGTCTGGTCAGTTGCATTATATAAATCTAACAAGACAGTGGGTTATAAGTAACTTTCATCCCTTTTTTCAAAGTCTGTAACCGTCGAAGACAATTGACAATTACTCTTCATTATTATTAAACTTAAGAATTATTGTTAAATGTAATTTATATTATTACTATTGTTTAATTATTATTTACCGAATATTCGGCATCTGCAACTGAACTTATTTCTGAAATAATTCAATGTATTAAAAAGCAATTCAAGCATGGTGGATATATAGAGTATTTTTATGAAATCAATGTATTTTTCGACACAATTACTAATATAAAAAAATGTATTACTTTTCTGTCTTCTAGTTCAGTCGACGAACACTGTACGAATACTTTTAGTTCTCTCTGCACGTGTAGTATGGAGGGGCGTGATACAAGGAAAGATTTCCATTCTGATGTTACTTTGGCAAAACGCAATCGCCACCACTAAAGGATGAAGCGTCATTATCGCACTTCGCTACAGAATGCCGCTCGAAAGTCTTTTTATCATTGGATTCCGGACAAATTTCAGTAGGCATTTCCTGTTTTGCTTTTTTTCTCTCTTTCAATTTGGCATTAGGCAGTCAACGCGACGGCTACGTCGCTGGAAACAGTAGAGCACTGTTCTATAATCGTCTTTTTTTTTTAACAATCTCTTTTCTCATCGTTGCTAGATCAAAAAGGAAGAAGTCAAAAAGTATGTTTTAGTGTCTACCCTTACACTAACAGTACAATTTTTCCTGGAGGAAAACGTTTGCTCTCATTCTCTTGCATTCTTTTTCTAATCTACGACAACGTTAACGTTAGTTCCTATCGTTTATCATTTTTTTATGATATGGTTTTTAAGGGACGAGGGCTGGAGGATAAGCGAACAAAACTGTAACTCGTGGGTACATCGTTCATTCTTTCTCTTCTTCTTGCTTCGAATAACAAAAGAAAGAAAGAAACAAAGGGATAAACAGGACATGTTAAACGCGTTCTTCGATACTGTATTTTCACGATAATTAATGCTTGTCGTATCGTCGATCGATACCACGGGAAAATCACTTCGGAAACGCGCAACACACGTCGTTCCTGTACGTTTCAACGCATTTTCGTTCTGTATCTACGCGAAACGAATGTTACGTCTGCTCGCTGTCTAACGGCTTAACAATAATCGCGGTTGAGTATACTCTAATGAAGTCGGGAATAGAGTTCTACTAGGAATAAAGTATTAAACAATAAAATCTGAAAATAGAGTATTTAAACTACAGCAGCCTGGGGCTAAAAGTCTATAAAATGGAATACAAAAAGTACGTCGAAATCTTAAACGAGAAAAGGAGTATAAGAACTAATGAGCTATTTCTTTTTATCGTATCAGTTTTTTTTCGCCAGAGACTCGTGTATGTTCTTCTCTGTCTCTTATTTTGTTTAAACGGATCTCTGTATCCTCTCGATGATCTTTTTCGCTCGAATTTTGCGGACATTGCCAACCCTGCTTTTCTAACCTGGTTTGTGCGCTAAGAGAAATGTTTGCCTGTATCACAGACTTCTTCGATTACGCAGCTGGTCACGCTCCGTGTATTGTAAAAGTACGTTAATTAAATAAATACATAATTTAATTAAAAACCTCTCTTTCTCTCTCCCCCTTCGCACGTGCGATTTAGACAAAGATCTATCTTAGCCGTACTCCCGCTATAAAACCGTCTTAATGCCTGTGGCTTCTTTTCTTTAAATCCTATGTTATGTGTACCAAGGAGTAGGGGATCCGATCCGAGCAAATTTCTTTTGAAAATTTCTTGCGTCTATTCAGGAATTTAATGGCAATTCCCATAACCAACGAAATCCATCATCGTCCTTTATTTTCTATTAATTGTAATACGATATGTTAACTGGCTCTAGTTGCGTCGTTATTCGCGCGCGCTCTCGTTAACCTTCACGCAAGAAACGCTGACAACAGAATGTTCGTAAAAACATAAACAATAGACTGTAACAAGGAATAAAAAGGGAGATAATAATAATAATCATAAACAATTGGCAGCACTATTATACTTGCCCGATCTCAGTTCTCCAGTGATATCCCCGTTTTAACGCTGCGGACTGTTTCCTGACTATGCAAACACCTGCTCTACACTGGACAAATTTCACTTTTTTCATTTCTTTTTTTTTCATGTTTTTTGTTTTGTTTTGGTAGGATTTGGTGGTTATCGGGTTTGCGCGCAAGCTTAAGCTGATGATCCTAATTGGCAATATCGATGAACACAAACAAACGGCAAAACGTGTGTGTGGCCTCTGACGGGGACGAAGGAAGTTTACGTTGGGTTGGGTGTTTGCTGCTGAGAACTGTACTCCAACAGGGCTATCGGGAACGTTTTGATGTGCGTCTGCCACTGCGCCGACAGTTGGAAGAACTTTACGCCGTACCACTCGGTACCGTCGATGCTCACTGGAAACAAAGGAAAGGAAATCGTTCATGTAGATTTATAATATTAAGCAGCCGCTTTTGATACGCTGGATTCGCTTTAGTTATACTAGTGTTTTATTGAAATTTATACAAAACCGATTAGTAGACTGCGGATTTTTATGCAAAATGACATTTTTTAAAGTAATTTTTTACGACAACAGCAAAGGTAGGAATTTATTTCTTTTCTTAAATATTTTATTGGGTTCAGAATAAAGTAAAAAACATATTGTATCTGACGAAAGTTTCCTCTCTTTCGTATTATACAAAGGCCTATTGGTTATAAATGCATAAAATCCGCAGTCTACCGATTAGATTAGCGGGACATAAATGGCTGTTGCTGTTGTCTGTGCTATAATTCCAAAATATGTAGAATTTCTATATTTGTATGTATACATATAATGGTGAAGATTAGAATATGTAGAATTAAAATAGATTGTAACGAACAACATTTTTTATCCATCTATACAAACTACACGTGATTATAATACCAGCGCTGGGCTATTTATTTCTCATCAACGCAGTGTCAGTTGAAGTCGGATTATCTACGTTCACTAACATAATATTGTATTGTTCCGAAATTTCGTAGCATTATTAAGAGGCGAATAGCGATATGCAGTTCTCATTGTGCATTTTGCCTATATTTTCCATTCCTTTCCTTATTTTAAAGAAATACATTTTTGAATTTGAAACCAATATGTAGAAAACCCTATTAAGTGTAGTTTGCTTGCTAAATGATTCTGTGTTAAAAGCTATCATAACATATACATTCACAATATTAAAAAAAAGTGAAAGTACTGTTAAAACTGAGAGTACTTCTCAGCACAAATTGTGACTGAATCATATACGAAACATTGGCGAACACGTAACAACAGAATCAGTAGGCTCATAAATAAGCTTTATATTTAAATAAACTTTGGAGTCGTAATTATCAGACCACATGAATTACCTCTTAATGGAATGTTGTGAGTTTTCGCGGAACATATAAGTCGCGTCACGCCCTCGACCGTTTGACTCTTTGGCTCGTTTTCCTTCTCTTTCTCTTTCTTCTTGCCCAATCTCATTACTGTAAAAGTAGCAACGTTATGGGGTGGTATTACGTGAAAGAAAGCAAAAAGGAAGTAATCTGAAAACGTTCAAGATTGTTTCGGTTAAGTTTAAAGTCGAACATCGTTCTACGTTTACGCACTTTTCTGTTTCTTCTCCTTCGTTGTGTAATTCATGGACAAGTGGTGGCCAGGTGTTTCACCAAGCCCCGGGAGTCTTTGTACGTGAAGCGCCCTGAACGCTTGCCTCAACGTGTTCTTGCCCTTCTCGCCCTGCGTATGCTTGCTCCAGTAATCGAGTTGAAGCTCGACCGGTTCCCAGCCCTCCCTCATGGGTTGACCAACATTTGGACTGCTGGGCGGCGTTAACCGACCGGGCGGCGGAATTGGCAATCCCGGGGGTGGCAGAGAGGGCGGTGAACCAGACATGGTGACGTTGCTTTCCTCCAGGTCAACCGAAGCGGAAGAACTGCTGTCCGGGCAGCCCACACGAACGTCGTTTATGAATGGGATAAATATTTGGCTGCTGTCATCTGTCTCTCTGTCAATGAAATTTAATATGCATTTTATTATCAGTGCCTGTAAAAAGTTCTTGTGCTTTCTTCTTTAGAAAATGTCATGAATTGGCTTGGATAGATTTCATTTAATCCGTTAAGTCCCAAGCAGTGAAATAAGGCGGCTCTTACATATACAGGATGTCTCATTTAAATCGACCCACTCGCATATCTCCGAAAATAATAAATAAAATAATAAGTTCGAAAGATAATAAACGTTTAATTAAATTTGTACTTTACTTTTAACTTTTTCGAAATAGTTAATAGATAAAAATTAAATTCTATTTAAGTCTTCTTTCTATGAAATGGCCTAACAAAATCAAAAGCTTAAACATTTACGATTTATTTATTATAATATTCAGAAACTTCTTTAACCACGTATGTAGTATTAAATTATTAAGAATATATGTATTGGTGTTATGATTTTATACATTTACTTACATGGATCAAAATGTTATTTTGTGTAATTTATTTTAGAATAATCTGCACATAGACACCAGATGTTTACGCGAATTCTAACGTTCATAAATGATTTTAAAAAAATCAGAATTAAAGAAAAGTTTGTTTCACCGAATGAAAAATTTATTAACGTCAAAACAAAAAAAAAATAATTTTTTTATGTTTCGCTGCATTTTAAAAATTCGACAATCGCACAAGTGCAGAAAATTCACAGTCCATTTATCATACTGTAAGAACAATGGAATTTCAACAAGTTCCAGCTGCTATTTTTCCCATCAAGTGAATATCATCTTAAAAAAAAAAAAAGAATGGTCAGTGATTAATTACCTGTACGTGACCATGGCTTCTGCGATTGGCAATAGCATAGTAGTCCCAGCGTCGGCCAAATACTCTGACACCCTCGCCGCGCACTCGCTCGCTCCGCCGCCTTCTCTTTCCAGCAACTCTTTCCATTCTTCGCCGAAAAGCATCGAGTACTTCCCGTCTATCGAACTGAGATACTTCGACAACGTGTTGGAACCAAGAGGCACGACCAAGAACTTCAGGTAATTCTGCCAGTCAGGCGGCCGAAAGCTCAGCAGGTCCACGTAATGGCGCAACACCGTGTTCACGAAACTGTCCCCACCGGCGATCACCACTTTGATCGGTGCAGGTGGTTTCGCTGAGCTGTTGCAACTGGTAAATAAACGATATCTTTCGAATATACTCTATTACAAGTCGTACCGAACTCAGGACGGGCAAAGTTGACACGTGAATTTTTCACTTCTTTACTCGTTGGTATCTAGCGGTGGGAATTTATTTCCGCCCATTCATTCCTTTCCATTAATTAATCCAAACAAACGGAAATGCATTGATTGCTAAGAGGAATGACGTTTCTTCGGTTAAAGGAAAGATGATCGATGCAAGAAGAATGATGACGTTACATGACGTTACAATGCCAGGGCATGGAAATGAACACTATGGGATGAAAGGGGGGAATGTGTGGTGGTTACTGAAATGGAAATAGACCAACCCTCCTCAGCGCCGGATTAAGGGGTAGGCTAGGGGGAGCTATAGTTTCGGACCCCACTGTCAAGGGGGATCCCGATCGAAGCCTTCCGTTTATGTCAAAAAATAATTGAATTAAATTTTGCTCACTGTTTCCCTTTTGAAATAATTAAAAATTGTACTAAATGTAGAAATAAATCGAATCAAAGTTGTTAAAATATAACGAAGCATTGTTCGTTATAATCAAGCGTTCGTTAGGATTAAACGATATTTAATTTTACTTAGACTAAATTTCAATTTTAGAAGATTAATGTATTTTATTGTATGTTGCATTACAACAATTTTGTGTGCCCCCCCCCTTGCTTTTCAACCAAGGGGACCCTCAAAGGTCTAATAGCCTCGGGCCACAAGAAATCATAACGACCCCCAATCGCATATCAACTTTGGCCGTCCTGACTTTCATGGTTTCTAACAACCTTTATATTAACACCTTCAGATCCGTTGCGTAGAAATATATATACGGATTTGACATCTTCTTTTAAGAATACCGACAATTTAGAGGAGTCACGGTGACATAGAAAAATTATTTTTCAGACATATCCAGTTATTGTGAGAGACCCAATTTTCCGTTCACGTTATGACTATTGTGTATTAACATGACAGTTCAGTTGTGATCGTCATGAATGTGTTAACCCTTGGAAGGTAGATGCTTTTAATGACAATACAGACAGTTGCATCTGGATAGTACGTTTGGACCCTTACACATATCACTTTTTCTAAATGAATTTTTGAACGTTCTTTTTCTTTAAACGCCTATCTTTTTATCGAAACTAATGTAAACAAGGGTTAGCTTATATTAGTTTTCGAGTTACATGATGCTCTTGAAAACTCTTTAGACATTAAATTGTAATATTATGTCACGTTTGAAGGGCAAATTCACATATATACATAGTTGTTAACTAACACGGATTCAAGTCAATGTAAAAAATAACCGTGTATAATCTGTCAAATTTCATTAAAATCGAAGATTGCCATTTCGATCGATGTTCCCCGTGGGCTACACTGACAAATGGAGACTCGGCAAAAAAATAAATATTATAAAGGAGAAGTATTTACAATTTTTGTATTCGGGTGACCAAGCACGTGAACGTCGCACGAACGTCAGCGGGAGATGCAGTCGTTAGGACTCTGTGGTTTCTTTCTTGAAGCCTCGTTGCAAGCAGCGCTCCGCCTGGATCCGCTAATGAGACCAACGACACGGCGTCTGGCAGACTGTCATCGGGCAAAACGCGGCTTAATTGTTCGACCAATGCTTTCCTCGGCTGAAACAGCATACACATTGATCAGTACACACTTGCCAAAGAACCATGGAACACAACCGTAACCGTTTTCGTCGGAGACACCGTATACAGGTCGTTCCATAATACGTGGATTTCTCTTTGGCAGTGAACAAAGCAGAAAAAGTAACTAGAAGAATTTTCCTAATCATATGTCATAGTCATTTTTGTACTATAATAACGTGTAGACACTTTAGCTTGACAGGAAGCCTTCAAAATGGCCATCTTTGGTCTGACCACATGACTTGTAGTCATGTCACATTTTCGCAATTTTTTAAATATTCATTCAAAGGTTTAAGAAGTATAAAGACTTACAATATTTGTTGGGAACTTCTGCCGTATTTTGCGCCCTTTACTTAACTTATGTCACATTTCCGGTAACTTACCAATTCCTTACGCATAAAAATCTTTCCTTTAACATAAACATGGCTTGAAAAAACGACAGAACTTTCCAACAGGTTTAATATTATTAAAAAATAACTATAACTCAAAAACAAGGTTAACAAGGGTTAGGTCTGGTGTTAGGTACCAAGGTGAATTATCCAGTGATTCAATTTTTCTTAATCTTCTCTTTTCTGAAATTTCATCAATTTAAGTTAAATCTAAGAAATTAGTACAATGCACCTCTCTACTTTGTGAAATTTATTAAGAAAATATACAAATAAATAAGGTAGTAAAAAGAATTATTAAGAATCTTTTATACAGGGTGTCTCAGGTTGGGTAATACAACCAGGCAGGAGGTGATTCTGTAAGAAAAAATAAGTCGCAAAAAGAAATGAATTTGTTCGTTTGAAGTTTCGTTTTCAAGAAACTTGGTTTTGAACAATCATTGGAAACGCGTGAATTTGCGTTAGTAATAAGTAGAAACGGCCTGCAATGTACAGACGCGTTAGCTAAGTCCTATTTTACAGGCTGTAACAAAAGTGTTGTTGATCCTTGAAATGGGTTACTCATGAGGTGATTTGGAACAAGTTTTTCCTTAGCAAAAATGTTATCCGAGGCTTTGTTAACGAGATATTAACGGAAAACCCCGACCAATCAGAGTGCCAGTCTACCGGCAGAGCTCTGATTGGTCGGGGTTTTCTGTTAATATCTCGTTAACAAAGCTTCGGATAATATTTTTGTTAAGGAAAAACTTGTTCCAAATCACCTCACGAGTGACCCAATTCAGAGATCTATAACACTTGTGTTACACTCTGTATTGCTTGTGTATCCAACAATTATTCAGGTTTAATTATCTTGAAAATGAAGCATTATCCGACAAAATTTTATTGTTTTTTTCTTCAAGTTATTTTTTCTTATAGAATCTCCTTGTGCCCAGTTGTACCACACAATCTGGAACACCCCATATGTATGTATACATAACCTCAAAACTCTGGAGTATCGTAGTCCCCTCGGATTTTACATCTCAAACATATCAGCCGTTCACAGGCCAATGAGGCTAACTCTATTTTTCAAACTTTTACAAATTTTTGTGCCTAAGTACAAAATTGGTGCTTAACTTTTCACATTTAAAATAAATTTCCTTGATAATTTCTATAGAGTTAATAACTTTGGAAAATTAATAGCTCATACGGTCCTTTCGTACTATAAGGTTAAATAGAGTTCACGATTGTATGAATTCTTCTAACTACTTCCGTATCCCTCGTTCATCACTGACAAGGGAAGGACCTCAACTGTACCACTTCGATTTTATCGATCTTGTGTAGGATGATAGAATACATATTTCTAATCGTATGTGTGAAATATTATCCATAGTTATTTGATAGTTTTAAAGGTATAATTAATTAAATTGACATACCTAGTTACATATGTATTATAAATATAGGTATCTGTGTATCTTCTTCTTTTTTCTTTTATGGCTTCCAGATGTACAAGCCACTTCGCCATCGCGGATTTCACAAACAGACACCTATATCCATAGTACATATACATATACAGGGCTCTCGTAATTATTGTCCCAAACTCGGGTCCGCGCAGGGACTATAATCGTGGACCACGCGAAACGTTTCTGACCCTCGTGAATACATTTCTTGCCCGAAGCTGGAGCCTCGGCAACTCGCCTTTGTAGTATTCCGAACGTAGAAAAGGACAAGCCAGTGAAAAACAGAGAGAAAACTTCTCTTCCCATTCTATTCGGCTGCGTGGCCCGTCTGCGACGCTCTCGCCGACCAACCATCGAGCGCATACATTGTTGCCCGCCGCGCGAGACGACGCTAATGCAACGATGAAACGTTTTTATTTTTGATTCGTTGTTAATGAAACTTTTACTAGTATATTGGTGAGGTGTTTCTGATTAAAATGATACAAAATGTGACATAATTTGGATCATATTTACGCATTTAGAAAGTGTTAATAGTTCATATTAGTTCATTATCGATTCTGATAAATCATAAGCAAATATGACCCAAATTATATCGTGTTTGGTATCATTTTAATAAAAAAAATCTCATCAATATGTTCATAAAAGTTTCGTTAATAAAGAACCAAAAATAAAAAAGTTTTATCGTTGCATTAGTATTGTTTCACCGACACCTGGGAATGTAACCTTTTTGTGGGCTCCCAACGTTCAGTCGTCGGCTCGTGAACGGAAAGCTATCTCGGCGCGCCGCAGCAACAAAATATGCGGTTGCCGAGTTCTACGCCCCCCTAGAGATGGGGATGACGCCTGGACAATAATCGCATATCAACAAAGAGTCAATAATCGCGAGGCCCCTGTGACTAGGTATGTATCTTTAATTAATTATACCTTTAAAACTATCAAGTAACTATGGCTCATATTTCACATACTATAAATATGTATTCTATCTTCCTACTAATGATCGATAAAATCGAAGTGGTACAGTTAGGGTTCTCCTCTTGTGAGCGTGGTCCTAAATTGTTATGAAACACCCTGTTCGTCTCGATACGGAACACGTGCAACTAAATATCCCATATCTACCTCAGAGCTATTCAAATCGGCCGGCGGCTTCAAGTCCACGCTGAGACTGTGCTTTTTGGACTTATTGTTACCAGGTGCGCCTCTGTCCCGGGTAAACAGTCTGCTCCTTCGGTCCGAGCTCTCGGTTTTATTGTGCTGCTCCGATTTCGGCGGGGAGCCCGGCACGTAATTCGGTGGATCGTTCGCCTCGTGGTCCGTCCAATTTTCGGGATGGGAATCGCTGTCCGCTCTCCGGGAGCTATCATCGCTTTGCCTATCCACGCCTCGTTCTGCAATGAAATTTCATTAACTCTTCGTTGCAGTGTACCATCGATAGGCTTTCTCCATCGTTGCTCGCAAAAGCCCGAGACCACCAATTCCCTTCGTTCCCATATTTCGACTCGTTTAACGTACACTTTCGTTCATAAGTTACCGGGCATTTACTACCCTTATTTCTATATTATGAATACAACACTATCATTTACTATGTATGTAAATATATTAACATTCAGGGAAATTGTACTGTGAAATAAAAAAATGTTTTTTAATTATCATCACGCAGGAAAAATATCTGTATTACTGCCAGTGCCCCCCATACTGTCACTTATTTTATTTAATATAAACGTAAAGTATACAAAATTGGGATTATGATTTACAGAAGAATAAAGAAACACATCTATGTACCTGGTATTTAAAAAGTAATATTGAAAAATGAAAGTGCAATTTAAGCGTCAAAAACGTGACTACGTAAGTAGGAAGTGATGGCAAAAGCATACTAAAGAGCCGTAATTTTACTATTCAACCTATCTTTATTGTACAAAATGAATTATTAAAGTATAGAAGGATTACTTTAATTTTTGAGGTGACAGTTATAAAGGCACTGGGATTGCTCGGAGATTTTAATTAATTATTAATTAATTCTTCATATTTAATATACAAAACTATTTTTGTAATGGAAGAGATCTTAAACAATATTAAATATGTTCCAAACTAAGACGATTTTTAGATTAAACAACACGTAAAATGATTAAATCAAGTTATGCTACAATCATAAGGCGACAGTAACGGAAACATCTATACTCTATGTCAGGGTAGCTACTGGATGTTATGACGTATGCTGGTGAAATCAATAAGAATCACTTAATATTATTAAGCTATGGAAATTATCACATAGGATTAATGATTCTTTATCTGTTAGCTGAATGATGATTTTAGTATAAATATCTATATTCCCATGCATAAATATGAGGACATGTTTCACATGGAAATGAAACCGAAGAATCGTTATAAAATTATTAAAAAAGTGTTGAACACTTATTTTTTGTGGGCATATATATTAAAGCTTAATAAAAACATTTGTTTCTGATGATTGTTTTATTTTTTCCTCCGATTAGAGTATCAATTTTGTAGTGGCATTAAAATTGACAAACTAAGAAATTGTTGTGCAAGTTTTTGGTCTATGTAATTGTTAATTCGTATAAATAATTTTTTAATTTTTTTTCTGCAAGTTTGGAAGTATCTGGTGACTTACAAATGGCGTATCGTGTTTCCAGACTATACGATGTTAAATTATTCGTAACCTAATTGTTATACAACAATATTGTATGTGAACTAAAGATTACATGATCCTAAAGAGGACATAGGTATTCTATATGTAGTGACTATTTTTCATCTACGTTGTCGCTTACGGAGTTTTTAAGGTTGTATTTGAAATAGCGTATTCTTATGCTAGATTTTGCACGCTCTTTTAAATAAATTTATACATTAACTATTCTAACTCATTTGTAGATATTCTTAACGTGTAATACAAACGTATTATTCCTATCGTTATTATTTTTAAGGCTGCTTTCAGTAATTTCGTAATGAAATACTCGATCTCTTATTATGAAAATCTAAAAAGTGTCAGAGTTAAAAAGATTTGTGACACAAGACATGTAAAATTGATGATTATTGAAACTAATGACAAATCAATCAAAAGAGTCATATGAAAAACCAAAATCAAATTTAGGTATAATTAATATATTATATTCTATATTCAAATGAGAGTGTAATTTTAGTGCAATTTTTATCGTAAGATCAATATGAAAAATTAAGAGCAGCAGGCTATTTAATCTTCTATGACGCTGTCCGACTTCGAAGTTGTACATTATACATTGATATACGTCGAGTCTACTATTATATCTGGATTCATTGGCTCGTCGAATTCGGATAACCTTTTCACCGACATAAAAATATGCACCACGGATTTAATTTCTTAATTTATAACTTACGTCCAAACTTTACCTCGTTATTCTATTATTTCAAATCTGGTCATATAGATGTAATTTTAGATTCTGATAAATCAATTTTTCATCGATACATTACCAATATAAATAAAATAATCATTATTATAAAACTTTGTATCACTAGTCACTGTACAAAACTTCAGCATACACGCTGAATTTAACACCGTACAATGTTAATAATTTACTCAACAATATATTTTCCCTCTTAAACATTTCGTTCCACTGTCCAAAGCATTGGCCCTTTATTTCGTGGAAAAATAAAATCAATTTCCAAATTCAATCTGCATTTATCTATTTACAGATGAAAAATTATTTTTTACACATCTAAACGAGCCGTCCCACTTGAATTCTTCAATTTCAATAGCGTTATTATTGTCTGTTTCGCTGAAGGTGGTCTTGAACTTGTAACGAGCAACGTGAACGCCGTGTAAACGGCTCGCAGAGAGCAGCAACGATAGAGACACGTCTAGCGCGTCCAATTAGACAATTACTAAAACACACCACGCTTAAGTGTTCGACGGTTGGAACCGGTTACACAGAATGCAGAATGTAAACTTACTAAATCACAATCAGGGGCACCACGTGTTTGCACGCAAGATACATGGGCAAAGGACATTCATGATCGACAGTCAGGTGTGCGGAATGTGTCCCACGATAAGCGCCGATTAAAATATTGCCAATACTACTGACTATACATAAGAACTCCGAAGGGAATATTTGTACCGTTGAAATCATAAAGTTTGTTGTAATAAAGAGATATTTTCTAATAAGAGATATTTTTTCTATCAAAGAGATATATTTATTGCCTTTATTTAATGGAATATGCTTTTATACTGGTATTTAAATAGTGGTATTATTGGGTAGTTGGTATTTGAACAGAAAAAGACAATTACATTGATATTTTACAGCATGACACTGGGGGAAAGTGTTTAACCAAAAGTGGTGATATGATCATTACAGGAAATAGATATATGCGTTAAAAACGGAAAATATTGTTGTATGTATATTAACGCAATAGAATACAAGATTTGACATTATCCAGAGGAAATATTAGTAGAATAATAAATGTTCTTTTGTATTTATTAAGAAGGGAATAATACGTAATGTTCACTGGAAAGAGAAACTTGGAAAAAATTCTATAAGCAATTCTACAAAATATTTAAACATTCTCAAGTTTCTGAAAAAAACAGATGATAATACAGGTTGTGAACATTTTTCTTTCACGCCTGAAGACGATTGAGCCTTTTTTCAATTGTTGCTGATTTTCTCAATCTGTATTCTGTAAGTAAATGAACATATCATTTCAAGAATTCACCTAAATAAAAAGGATTAGAATTTTTGCCAAGAGCAATAGCATTCGATATTTTTATAAAAATGTTTAAAAGAAGTATCCTTATAAAAATAAGACAAAGCGATAAGACATCGTTAAATTCATTTAAAAGATTAATTTGACGTTCAGATGACCTTAAACATAGAATACTAAAACTATCTCTGTTATCACAATAGATCCTACGATTCTCACAGTAGAAAATTCCCCCTCTACGATCCTTCTCATAACATCGACAATCTATGCGCTACTTCGATCAGTGCTTGTCATGGGACACCCTGTACAGTAGATTGATTTCTTAATGCTTAGTAATTTAACATTAGTAACTCGTGTTATACAAACGGTCGAGAACAAAAAGAAGGTCAGCTTATAAGTAACTATAATAATCGATAGTAATAAAGAGATACGTACGTACGAGCAGATAGATAGAGACGGAAAGAGAGAGGCCGGTGAACAAGATTTTAAGTATGATTAAATGCTACATACAGAAAGCTGCGGAAAAAGGCACACAGAGACACAACCATTCTCATGGAGTGTTTCGAGGTCGATCGAAAAGCGAAAGAGTATTTGAACAACCAACCCAAAACAATCTTTCCTCGGTGGGGACCGAACGGAGCCGTTCCTGATCGTGGTGGGTAATCAAACCGTTCAAACGTGGTTAAACATCTGACGAGGAGTCCAGAAAGTTCAAGCCAAGTATGATTACGGTGAGACGTTCAAGCTGAAGGTCATTTTCAAACAGTCCGATGACGTTTCTAAACGTCTAAATGAAATTCGCGCCATTCACTGCGCATGTCTCGTCTGAACGTAGACACCCGTCACGTGGTTTCTGGCGTCTGTATGGACCACTGTCGTATACACAGGTCCGGAAACTTCCGTGGTGGGGGCGATCCCGTAAAGAAGATCAAAAGTTTCGTGAATCTACCTCTAGCCACACAGTGCTGCAATCATATTGTATATATATAGAAAAAGTGACATAAGGAACGGACCTCCTATCACTTGGTATTGGGAATTACTGAAATTTATATCTAATTAACATTCGACTTATCCTTTATTCCAGTAATTGAAATAAATTTACCAAGTAGTAGAAGGCCCTTCTCCTACGCCACTTTTTTCCCCTAGCGGAAACCGCGTTTGCTCGCAAGGATACATCATGTTTTAAAAGCAAGAATAAGCCCATGCGCCCTGATGCGCCACGGGAAATGTATACGACTGCGACTGCACCCATGAACTTAGGAATTAGAAAACAGAGAGCAAGGTCCCATTCCTAGGCCCATGATTGAACCATAAGACCGTAGTGCCCTCGATTCGTGGCAAAGTTCGAAAGTACACTTGGCATCCTTAAGGGATCACTCCCACCACGGGAGTTTCCGGACCTGTGTATACGACCGTGGTGTAGACTGTTGCCAAATTAGGCGATTTCGAATTTATGGTTATATTATACAAGACGTAACAAAAGTCTTGTAGGTCCCTGAAATGCTCAACTCCTGCGGTAGCGTTGGCTACCAATCGCAGCGCGTAGCCGATGCTGCCGCGGGAGCTAGCAGACTCGCGCTCTGATTGGTCGGGGGTTTTCGTTAATATCTCGTTAACAAAGCCACCAATAACATTTTTGCGAAGGAAAAACTTCTTCCAAATCACCTCACGAGTGATCCATTTCAGGGACCCACAACACTTTTGTTAGATCCGTATGAACGTGTTCGTTTGAAACATATATGGCTGCTCCTTTTTACCATTGTACAAGGGTGATTCTATCACTGCGCAAATCAAATCATTCTATTGGTCAGTAAATATTAATAAATGTGTTGCAAATGTATTATTTATTTTTAATTCAAAAACGGATGGAACTTTCCGGTAGACCTAATATATATCTATTTTTTGAATGTATTATACTAGAAAAAAGTATTTTAATTTAAAAATCCCGTGGTAACACCACCTTCAAGATTTTGTTGACAGCACTATTACGATTACGGGCGATTTTAGACAACTGTGTCTGTGAGAATCTTATTAAAAAACTCAGAACTCTGTGTGTGCGCGCATGGTGTATGGCACAGTTAGTTGAAAAATTTCAATTACTGCATGTACGTATAGCAATATCAAAAAGTAGTATTTTATTCCGTTTCCTCTTACGATGATAAGTACCAAAGACATAGCTTAGTTTATTATGTGATGTGTTAAATATATTCTTTCATAAACTGAAGCGTACAATCGACCAAATACAATCCTCGAACCTCCTAATAGTTTCAAACACTAAACAGTCTGATGACGTTGTAAGCACCAAATTCTCGAGCCCCGAACATCGGTCAAACGACTCGAGGTGGTAGAGTATCGGATACTTCACACTCAGCTAATTAACGATATCCACCTCGTTTCCGCAGAAGTATCGAACGTTTTCTTACTGTATGGAAATTTCATATAAGCTCGGGGTTTGAAATGTCATCAAACTGTTTGAGGTTAGAAATGTCATCAAACTGTTTGAGGTTAGAAATGTCATCAAACTATTTGAAGTTTGCAACGTCATCAAACTATTTGGAGTTTGAAACATCATGAAACTGTCTGGAGTGAAACGTCATGGAACTGTTTGAGGTTGGAAACGTCATCGAACTGTCTAGAGTTTGGAACGTCATCAAACTGTTTGGGGGTTTGAAATGTCATCAAACTGTTTGGGGTTTGAACGTTATCAAACAATTTGGGGTTTGAAACGTTATCAAACAGTTTGGAATTTGGAACGTCATCAAACTGTCTGGAGTTTGCAACGTTATAAAACTGTTTGGAATTTGAAACTCAGACTTGGCTTGAACAAGCACGTTTGAAACGGTTTGTTCGCGAACCCATTACTACTAGTCTCCGAAATATGTTCTTTCGTCGCAGAAGCAATGAGAAAAAAAATGACTACAAGAAATCAGATGCCAAGTAAACATTTATTTCTCTCTACAACTATTACATTCATTGTGGTATTACATGGTTTCACAACTACCGGCCAGGAATGTTATTATTACGATGCAATACAAGAACAACAGAAGCGGACACGTAGTTTCGTTCGTCTTGACGATACGTTGCGCTTCGAACATAAGCGTGACGAACTGAAAATGCGAAAGTACAGATAATACTTCGATTATCATTGCATTCCGCGCAGCTCAGTTACCGGGATCATACTTACTCACGGAAACGAACATCGAATCATAATTGCAAAGATCGTTACGAGGAACGTGCGTATAATTCGATCGGGCTCTATTTGCGAAACTACAGGCATCTAATTGCCGAATCTTTGATCATTAAGCACCATGCTTCTGCTGACTAGTCATTCATGCGCTGGAGTTCCTTCTCCAATCTATAAAATTGCGTACACTGGAATAACGTATCGGTCTCCATCCTCGTTAGTGTATCCACACTCTTCTCCTGTTATATGAGCCGCTTTTTTTATTTTTGAAATGATACAAGTCCAATTTTGAAAAAAAAAATGAGTTAAAACTACAAAAGTTTCAGCCACAAATGCATGTCTTTTATTTGTATTTATACAAACAAAGTTAATACAGCACAAAAAAAGTTGTACTGTTAAATGAAATTGCATAAATATTTCTTTTGAATCTGGTGTAAGTCCATTTGTAACAATGAGTCAATTTATTTAACACATTCTACGAAGCAAAGTGAATAAAATATGAGTAAAAGTTATTAACATTATCTATCTTTACGATTGTACTTTCATTTCTTTTTAGATCATTCTTTCATTAAACCTATAATAAAATGCTCAAAAATGTATATTAAATGAGTATATTTGTACATTTAGTAATATACATTTATTGCTTTTATTATAGTTATTATTATTGATATTTTAGAATTACATTTCAGAAAAGCCTAGTTCAATTATAAATTTAACTTCGGTATTAGTCAAATTTTTGACAATTTACTATTTCTGAACACAACATTATTACAATAAAGAATTTATTATTTCTAACACAAACACTGTTTTACTTGGAGAATATTTATAAAAATGATCACATAATAAAATTAAACATATCTGGAATCTTAAAAGCATAAAACAAGCTTATTAACTTTTAACAATATGTTTAAACAAGGTAGAATGCAAAAGATCAAATATCTCGAGATAAAGAAAAGTAGACTTGTACCTACCATTTAAAAAAACGGCTCATATGTTACTTTCATCTCTTGAGGGATACTGGCACGTATATCTACGTTCAGTTTTTTCTTTCATTCAAGCATCATTCCGAAAGTGTAATGAAATATTCACTAGGATATTCTCCAACAAAAATGGATATTCCACCAATTCATTGTCGTTAACATTTGTAAATATATTTCAATTAAATACAACCGAAGAATAAAGAAGATATTCTTTCTAGTCTTAATAAATTCGTCCCTGAAGAGGTTAACCCCTACATTATCCTCCTCTTTTTATTCGTTTCTATTTGTTCGTAATAATTTGAATTATGTAGGACTAAATGTAGTTTGAAAGTTATCGTATTTGGAATCATTTTCATTGGGAAAATCTAGCCAATCTATTGGTAGTTTCGTAAGAGTACCTAACATGTAAATTACGGGAATTGATTTTAAATTAGTACTCTAGGTGTGAAGAAAGTCAGTGTAATACTCCATCTCGTTTGCTCTTAATGTATTCGCAATGTTCGTGTGTATTCAAAATCATTTGTACGTACATTTCAGGTTAAAATATTTTTTAAATATTCTTAAAACATTTGTAAATAAATATTAATCATTGTCATATATAGTTAGAAAGAAACAAAAGGAATTCTTGTACTTATCGCAATTGTACATTTACTTTATAACTTAAATATTAATATCAGGAAACTAGTATTTCACATTGAGTCAAAGTAAACGAATAATATTTACGTTTGTTGAATCCATTTTGATACCATCACCACGAGTCTGGCTCGATGTTATAAGGCAACGGGTTAAAAGACAGTTATCCTTTCAAGCACTACTTAAAATGCATACCAATTGTAATTACAAAAGAAAAAATATTTAAATACACTTATATGATTGTTCATTTCATTTGCTATAGTTTCTCCAATCTCACTATATTCAAATGAGCAAACAGTGTCGCGTGTAACCGAGAATCTGATTAAAAGGAACGAACATCATGCTAGATTTACGCAGCCATGCTCGCCTGGTGAGAAGCATAGGTCCTTAAAACGATCCAGCTAATTATCCTTAAATCCTGCTATGAACACGGTTGTATATATGTATACATATAGTTTTACATACCTGGAGTGGTGTGTCCGACACGGTGTTTCTCTTTAGGTAGCTGACCTGCGCTCTGTTGACCTACGGCCGTAGCAGGTGCGTTTCCGGTCTCCTCGTTGGTAACTACTACCGAATCGTAACATGCAACAATGCAAAGCCAACCCACCAGACTTTCACTTAGTTAAAAATGATCGGAAACTCCGCACTATGTTTAAACTCTTAGCAGCCTAATCGTCGCCATCTGACACGAATACGTAGCGGACGCTAATCATCGACGATTACGTGGAAAATCGTAACCAACCAAGTTGGAACCTTGGGAATCGGGCAACGTTCGAATGCAAATGTTGAAATTAAAATGTGAGGTCTATTCTGGGATTGATCGCTTGGATCACGAGGATCGTTCCGGAAATTTCGAGGTGTTTTATACTGTTTGTGTTTGCTTACGATTACGGAATCGTAAGTCTCGATTCGAGAGTGGAATGCAACTTTTGCACGTTTATAGCAAATGCAAACATGTAGAATACAATGAAACGGGAAATTTTAACACTACATATAACAATTTAATATGTACACCCTTGTCTTTAAGTCACCGGACACTTGATTGTATTGAGAAAAATTAAAATAGAAATACAAGTTCTGGAAGTAATTTCACTAATTTATTCTATTTATTGACAAGAGAGTGATCTTGAATATACCTTACACATCTTTCAGAATTACTTAGCAAAAATTACAACATAACAATCAGTTAGTAATTTCGTGACACTATCCATAGTCGACCACATTTAATACAATCGAATAATTTTGGCACTGATTTCTAAAAAATAAAGAATTAAGAATATGCGTGAAAATTAATGAAGAACTCGTGGAAGTGATTTGTAAAATCATTTCAGTGACATCAGGGAAAAATTATTTTTAAAAATTCACTTGTTAAAGTTCCACGAATCATTTGGATGAATATTCCTGAATGAAATAAACACAATAATTAAATAGATTTTTAAGACTGTTCAGAACACTGAATGTGATTTACATTTTCTTTGCAATGTGTAAGATTATGTAGTAAGAATTTGTTTATTTCATACTTCAGGCAACTTTTTAGTTATAATTCTTTCTTATTCTACGCTTAATGGCGTAAGTGTCGGGTGTCTTGTGGACGGGAGTGATATGTTTATACGTGGAATGAAAGAATTCGACCCGAATATGTCCCCGACCTACCATTACGAATATGTCCCCGACTAAATCATTAATTAATAAAATGGCATATAAAAAGTGCGGAATGTGGGTAGAACATAGCATAAGCCAGGTTACATGAGAACAAACATTACTTGTAACAAATAAACGCGATGTGGTGAGGATATTCGTTAAGGAAACTATAACTGTACTGTTTTGATCTATAATTTCGGTTTTCTTTTTTCACAACGTAACACACGCAAGAAATGTTCAAATTTTACGCTGATAATATTATTCCTTAACGTATAGAGCCCAGTTGCGAAACTTCAGTCAAAGGAAATGAATTTACATTAAATATAGCTATATATGATTGGGGTTGAAGAACAAGTTCGTTCGGATTTTTTAACAATATTTGAATTTGTGTCAAATTGGAATTTACTATAACTTTGCACGAAGTCACTGTAATAGTTCTACTATTTCTATGAAAATATAGACATATACGGCGGTCACTGAGAAAGTTTTGAGAAACTATTCAGGCATTAGTTATATGTTCATTAATTTTCCTATTTTATATCAATGTGTTATCCATGTGTCACTATACACCATCTCACTCTCAAAAAATAATTAGTACTTTTTTCAGTGAAGTTCATTATATGTATTAGGTCGTTGCACGTGAAATGACCGATTTCAGTGATAGATGTATTTGAGGTAACTTTTATGAATGAAAATGATTAACATCGCTCCTTGTTTATTGGAAAATTACTCAGTGGTACTCTATTCTTTTCAAAGTACTATCTAACAAAGCAGTAAAATCAATTATTTGAATATTGGATTAAAAAGTAAAGAATTAATCTGAGTTAAATTCGGTTACTTTCTCCAGATGCATCGAATGATGGACATTTCAGTCAAATTTATAAATAAACTTTATAAAGATGCATCGATGTATCTGCTAGAAAATATTATTTAGCTATGACAACGTTCAGCGAAAAGATGGCAACTAAACTGTTTTTGAGGAGTCGTCGTCAAATTCAGTATAGTAATTATCTAATGAATATAACACGCATGTAACACCTGTATTTCGATGAAAAAAAGTATACGGTCGATTTAATCTTACTATGATTAATAAAATTCGTACAATGTTCAATGTAATACCAAGGATTGATAAATAATACAATGGCCATTTCATTTGCAAAAACCTAATACATACCTGCCCTCCTCAAAATTTTTCTAGTTTTATTTTCAGTTTTAACGTACACTTCCACTCATAACTCCTGGGCATTTTTGCCACTATGAAGAATGTAATATTTCATAAAACCTACATGCTTTAATAGTTTATTTTAAACATATTTATACAAGATTATAAAAGAACCGATTTCTGTGAACTGCTTAATGTCTTGATAATATCTCGTGTCATAGATTATGAATTGTTTCCAATTATTTTCATGTAATAATACATCATCGTAAATCTTCATTAATCACTCATAAATCACTGTTCGTGAACTTCTAAGCTGTTTTCCAGTAGTAAATGGTAATTATAGTGCCACTATATACGTTACAAACTTCTTGATATAATAAAATAAATGTGGTTTACTTTTCGACCGAATTATTTTATCAAGCTGCATCTCGTATTATTTATTTAACTGAGCATAAATTCACGCGAACCTGAATGTACTAACTTAAAATCAGAACTAACCGACATATTATTTGTGATATACATATTCGTGAAATTCTGAGATATTACTCATACAAATCGATTCTTACTAGAAATTGTTTAAAGATTGGTATCTCTAAATATCACAAAAATCCGAACGAAGTTCTTCCTCGAGCCGTAAAAAAATATCGAGGAACTGCAACAGCCATATCATGCTGCACCGCCAAGAAGTCAATAATATGACTGAATTGTGAATAAACAAAACATGAATAAAGAGGTGTACTTTCTACAAATGTCACGTAAATTTTGTTCCTTTTGAAAGATTCGTTCGTTGAAAAATGTAAATAATAGTCGCATCGAAAATGAATGATGGTTTATCATTGCATGCCGACGGCTGGGTCAACGGAGTTTCACCGTCCTGAGCGGCAACGCATACGGTAGCTAAAAACTTGTAACTTTCATAGGATAACGTCGTGTAATTTCGCCTGGAAAAAAGATCTTAATGTGAAGAGTTACTGGTTGATGAACCATGAAATTATGTAGAGTTTATAAAGACAAAGGTAATACACAATAAGTCTCCTTACAAAATTAAATATTTTACGAGAATAACAGTCCGAGTTCGCGAGTGTTCCATAGAAATCTAGTAGTCATACAGTAGTAGTCAGCCTGCCTCTTTCACCTTTGTTATACAAATTGCAATACCATTCTTATCATGTTTTTAATTTCAATGAAACGGTTACTAAAGAAAATAAAGCCACTATGAAATAATCCATTCATCAAACAATATCTCTACAAACGTGGATTCGTGCAGATATCCGCAGTCAGGTAACAATTTCACGAAGTACATTTGACTTATTATATACAGCCCTAGGCCCCATTTTCCAGGGGGACCCGTTTTGAACCTTCTATGTATTTATATCACAAAATAATCGAATGAAATTTTTTTACTGTTTCCTTTTTGAAATCATTAGAAATTGCACTAAATGTAAAAATAAATCGGACGGCAGTTATTGAAATATAACACAGCATTGGTAAAATTAAAGTTACGGATACAATAACGTAATCCCCTCCCGCTTTTCAACCAAGGGTGCTCTCGAAGGTCCCAGATCCCAAAAGGTCTTAACCCGGGCCTGTCAGATACCACAAACGAGAATAAATGCTGTTAACTTACAATTTCTAAATCTATTACAACTGACGTAATCATAGTACTTATTTAAATAAAAAAAAAGAAGTGAAACACAATATAGATTTTAACAATATAGACTGTAACATTTCAGTGTGCGTCACAATTGACCCAGCCATCGGCACTCCCGTACTCCGAGGTTTAACCAATAAACGCGTATGAATTTGTAGAAAGCACAATGTGTATACTGCATGTGTACTCTTTTTATTCTCTAGCAGAAGCGAGTCATAATACAATAGTCTTCGAATATACGTAATATACCAGCGTTCCTTACCGTGTAACTATACAAAGAGAAGGGACATTTAGATCGATAGAGGGGGGCAAATACATCGTCGGACGTTTAACACTCGACGTTACGCGGGGTAGCTTGTCGCACGAAGCATTTCAGACGCTCTCGCGTCGAGATTTTGCAAATTCTACAGATTACTCAAGACGCTCACGTGGATTGGTTGTTCACTTACCGGAATGAGGTGGCGCCAGAAGGGATCGACTAGAGCTGAAGAAAGGACGCAGGGACGGTTTGGGCGTGCTGCTGACGGACATTGTGTCCAGTTCTGGGCCACTGTCGGACAAGTCTTCCAGTTCGTCGAACAACTCTTCGATCTCCATGTCGCCTCCTGAAACGAACGAAACGCATTCTATTAACCCTTTCGTTCCAAAATTATTAAAAAATTAGCAGAGAAATAATTTTGATGTATTTTTGTGTATATTATATGACACATAAGTGATTGATAAGAACATGTGCACATTTTGAAACCGTCTAACGCCATTTTTTATTTGTTGCCTTTTCACAATTTTTTTTTACTTTTGTCAGTTATATACAGGGTGTAACAAAAATGTTGCAGGTCCCTGATATGGGACACGCCTTAGGCGATTTGGAACAAGTTTTTCCTTAACAAAAATGTTATCCGAGGCTTTTTTAACGAGATATTAACGAAAATCCCCGACCAATCAGAGTGCGAGTCAGCCGGCCGAGTTCCCGCGGTAATGTTGGCTACCAATCGCAGCGCGTACTGATTGCGCGTGCTAAGCGCGCTCTGATTGGTTGGGGTTTTTCGTTAATATTTCCGTTAATAAAGCCTCGGATAACATTTTTGCTACGGAAAAACTTGTTCTAAATCGTCTCAGGAGTGTCCTATTTCAGGAACCTGCAACATTTATGTAACACCCTGTATAATAATTCCCATTACAATTATAAAAAAAAATTTCTCACTCAATTAATACGTGACAATCATTTTCTCAGTTTCATATTATTTGTATTATCATTCATGATCAGCTATGTGTCAGTTTCGTTGAAAGTATACAGTTTTACACTTGTTAAGTGTATACCTGAAAGCTTCTGCCCGATCTCCTCTTGATCTTGATCCAGATCCTCGGACACCCTAAACCGTCGCTTCAGAAGGGCTATGAACTTCTGCTTTAAATTCCTTTGCTGTAACAGCGACAATCGTTCCATTAAACGCTGCAAATCATAGAAACGACACTTTTAGTGGAATTTCGTTGCACTCTTCAGCCGTTATTCTTATAAGGTACGAAATACAAAAGGTGTGATACTACGAAGTATTCGGAACATTTTGATTAGATGGAACTAAGACACCGTGTACATTTAACTCTGATATTAATTGATTATGAGTAAAGTGCAGATGATATGCTAAAGCCAGTGAAACAGACATAATACAGTAGAATTTCGATAGTCCGGCCTGCTCGAGACTGATACTACTGGGTTATCAGATATGTTGGATTATGGGACCTGCAATGCGGTAATAACGACGAAAATAATTTAAGAAACGACCATGGTTAATATAGTAATCTAATTTAATCTTCTTAATCTATTTCCATTGCGATAATTACCGAATGACATTTGTAGCGAATAGTCATCGTTGGGGCTATGTATGCAGAGTTATCAGAATTCTACTGTAATAAGCATTAATAAAGTTGTTATTCCATGTAAATAATATAAATTTTTTTCAAAATATTGAAGTGCGTAAAATTTGTATGAAAATGAATAAAAATACGTACTCTAATTATGAGCACTACTACTAATTTAATAATAATTTAATAATAAATACTTAAATATGTTTGTGAGTCACATACAGTGTTGAAATACAATGGATGATTCAATAAAAACAGTTGTCATTACAACAGTAAAATTTGTTTTAAAGTAATTATGAAGTTAAACTAACAAAAAATTTTAAAATCTTTTTTCTTGACATAGGAATGATATACGTATTACATATCTATATGTATACAATAGATCTAAACCCATATTACATATTATTTTTGTAATACATATTAGTATTGAATACATATAGAATTTGATTACATATTATTTTTGTAATACATATTAAAATAAGAAAATCAAGTAATTGAATTACTAACACTTAAAATGATAAATTCACTATGGAATTTGTTAATTTATCATTAACTTGAAAAATTAGAGCATTATTAACTTAACACACAAACTTAAATTAATTTTGTACATCGTTGCCTAATGAACATGGAAAATCAAGTAATTGAAAAACTGTGTGGTTTATTGTGGCTGATAAACATATTGCGTGCACAAGGCGTGACATGAAAATGAAGACAAAAAAAGTTTGGTGATCGAAACGACACATAAAAATAGTATTATAAACGTTTACCCCGTTTTGTAACACAGTGCTTCAATAATTCTCACTGTTTAGTGCAACGTATCTGCCAACTATGGGCGGTAATAATTTCCGGAGCAATACTAATTAGATTATCCAGAATTTAACTGCAGCTTTTAGTACAATCACAAGTACTCTGCGGTTGCTGTGCGTTTATAGCATGTACAACTGCGAAATATCACACTAAAGAAGTATCTTTATCAAAATGTTAATGCAATTTTTAGTTTATTGGTAACGAAAAATCATTTAATAATAAATGTAAATTTCCATCTAATTTGTATGAAATTTATACTTAATTTCCAGTCTCATTTCTAAAAAAAAAATATATTCCAATTCTTGGAAAATTTTAGAATTTGTAATTCGATTAATCCCTCATAACGACCATCAATAGTCTCTACAAATATTGATTATTTTTGCTTTAAATATTTGGTACAATAATTGTCAACTGAAGGGAGATTATACGAGTGCAGATAATCTGATCTACTACTAAACGGACAATGTCAAGGATAGTTTTGCTTTATAACCAATTATTACTGGAACAATTAATGGGAAAGATCGAGTAAAACATTATTTTAAACATATATCAAATACGAACACCTGAAACATTAAATGTAGTATATAGGGCGACATTAAATTAGTCCCAGAAAATTTACAGGTATATTCTCACATCACACTTAACACTAATCTATGGGGGGGGGGGGGTGACCGCACATCCATGGAACCTCTTTATGAACAACAAAACACAATTACAGCAAAGTCTCATATATCCGAACTAATAGGGAGATACAAAAATGTGTTCAGATAAAGGAATTTTTGCATGATAAAACAATCATGTTTGTGTTACTAAACTTCATTTGGCTGTACTATAGCAGTTAGGCCTAATATCCACAGGGAGTATGGTACACCTTTGGAAAGCTTATAAGTAAACAAATCTAACAAGATTGGTCACGGCTACCGTAAACGTCGTATTAAAAAAATATAGACCAAAAATAATACCCCATCAAAAATATTATTTTTCTTAAACTGTCTCTAACCAACACAGAATCGGTTTTTGCTCTGAATCAGTGATGTTCTTCTTAAACTGTGATTAACCAACACAGACTCAGTATTTTGTTTTGAGTCAGTGATTTCTTTTTTTAAGGTAGCTTCCGCGTTTGGTGTCGTATCTAGCTGGGACTCCATATGGCGCTTTATATTTTTTATAAATTTTACCAATTTAATTTGAATGATTAATATTTTAAACTACTTCAAAATACTTAAATGGAAAAAATATGTACAAATAAGTGAAAAAAAAAACACAAAATTTTTTTCTAATTATATACAATTTTAATTTTTTTTTTAATTTTTAAAAAAAACTTGCAAAATTTGTCGAACAAACCAAAGGAAAACAAGCGACGAAGACGCTCATAGCAGACATACGCAGAAGAAACTACCAAACGAATTGAAACCTAAGTTTACATACTTTGACCTTAATTTAGTTTATTTTGATCGTTTAAATAGTTTTATTTGATCGTTGACATATCTTTTTTCAATGCCATCGTAATCTCCGTACAGAAATCTATAACCACCTAATTTTGTATGAAAATGTAATTTTTTGTAACTAAGTAAGAAGTTAACTGCTCAGTATGATCTACACACTTCCATAAGGCTCGTGTTAAAAAGAAATTTTTATAACGTTTCTTTTTCAATAATTTTATCGTTGACCTTGCGATTTTCTGGTGGCAATCGAAAATTGAAGCTTGTAAGAATGTTCTGTTACAGTGTCAACTAAATTTATAATTATTAAAACTTTGCGGGGACCACCTTAAACTGTCTCTAACCAACATAGCATCAATATGTATATTGCTTTGAAAATAAAAATGATGCACAACAAACATATAGACCATACCCCCTTGTGGTCGTCGACCTAAATGCTTTAGCCCTGCCCTTAATTTATTTAAACAGAGATAAAGAAAATTGACAAAATAAATATTTACGGATTTCTTCGACCGAACTTACATAAATTTTTCCATACAAGTAACTGCGTAGAATTCGATCAAACAGAAGAAAATATACATTCCATGTAAGCACTAGGATATTTACAACAGGAGAGGACATCTGTACTTGAAGATCCTCTGTTCGGATAACAGAACGTTCGGACATTAAGGTATTCGTGTAATGGGTGTTTGAATACAGGAGGCTTTACTGTACTTTCAAGATTCCTTGTCGAAAGAGGTGACAAAAACGTGCAATCGTATAAAACGTTCGCTGGACCGTAGCGAAATAAGAACGCAACCAAGATAAAGTGAACAACGCGCGTGGTCGAAGGAGGTCGACAGCCTGTCCTCAGTCGATCGGCGGGTAAAAACACACACGTCTTCACGAATCGAATCGATCCACTCGACAAGATGGAAATTAAACAAAGCAGAACTAATTCGTTTTACGCACCCTGGCGTTGGCCGGAATCTTCGCCCGGCTCTTCCGCCTGTGCATCTCGATTGTCGGCTCGCTGTCGCTGCCCTCCGCCTCGCCCTCTGAACTGAACTCTTCCTCCTCGTCGCTGTACTCCGGGCAGAGCCTCTCGTTCGGATCGTTCATCAGTCTTTTGTCCTGGTCGACCGGTTGCGAGCTCAACGCGACCACGCTTACGCGAGCCAACGCCACCGAATGGCCGCCATATTTCTCGGCCTTGTCCGACACCAGCTCCAGCTCCAGGTCCATCTGCTTCTGTAGGACCTATGGACAATTACGCAGGTGCGAATTGCCTGGTGAAACGGCGATTCGAACGAGAGGGGAACCGACGAAGTGTATCTCTCGAGATTTTTTGATCAATCTTTTGGTAAAAGTTAGGTTTAGAGTTTTAGAGAATGCAGCTCCGATAATTTCAACCTTGGCATATGTTACTAAGGATATTTTTCTAAGTAACCCCCAAGAGGTTTTAGTCGTCGCTCGTTTTCTATTAAAAAGTTATTAGCAAAAAAAAAAAATTGCAACATATACTAGTTATTCCAACCAGTTACTCTAACCAACTCTGATCAGTATAATGCTTCTTATACTGATAGTTGATACTAGATCTTGAACTGTCTCTAATCAACTCCGGTCAGTATGATGCTTCAGAGTTGCTTAGACACAGTACAAACAAACAAATCAGCCAGAGTTGATTAGAGACAGTTACTTTTTATCTTGAATTGTTTAACCAACTCTGATCAGTATAATGCTTCAGAGTTGGTTGGACACAGTTCAAGAAAAAAAGGTATCGTTGTTCTCTTAATAATTTTTTAATAAACATTTGGACCCTCAGGAAGGTGACCTTGACAACATATGTCAGACCACAATTAAAATTTGCCTCTATAATCTGGGCTCCTTATGTTACTAGGCAATGTGTTTTAATTGAACGTGTTCCACAGAAATTGCTCAGAGGAATTAGCATTTTTATACATGACCCTATGCATTTTACCAACCATAACTATCAGCCGTACTTAAACGGACTAAATCTACTCACACTTGAAAACAGACGAAGATCACTAGATTTACTGCTCTTGTTTAAGATTGTAAATCGTTGCATTGTTTGCCCAGAAACACTGGGAAACTTTAAATTTCAACTACCTACGCGTAATTTCGGAACTCATCCTTAGTTTCACGTCCAATATCACAAAACCGACTACGGTAAGTTTAAACCATAGCTTCCCAAACTTTTTTGACTCACTGCCCCTTTTTAAAAGTTTTTTCTGTTTAGCGCCCCTTTCGGTTAAACTATCTCTATTATTAAAATTGCCAAGTCTAGTTGTGCGTGTAATCTTTGAATCTGAAAAAGTTAGACTGAAAATAAAGAAATCAAAATAACTAGAATGCCTTCATAGAACTCTTCAGTGCCCACTTTGGGAACCTATGGTTTAGACCATTAAACCGCTTTTGTATGATGACCAACACTCTTGAGGAATCTTTCGATTTCTTTTACCTGTCACTAAGCGCATTTCGACATAAATTATTAACTAGTCATTGTTACTGTATTTTTTTTTATCTCTTATTATCGTGTCCTTGTTTCAATACATGTTATCTTTGTATAAAAGGATTTTTCCCATTAAAATAAACATTCTTATTATTATAATACTAGACATTGTATTATAGGAACCCTCTATATGAAACAGATGCACCAAAAAATTTCCATGATTTAAGAAAAACTTGTTTATCATAGTACCATAAATACTTCAACTTCTTCAATTTTCAAAACGTCGTAGGATCTAAGTGGAAGAGGAAATAGTGGCGAAAAAAAATATCAAGCCAATCTTTGAAATCCTTTTTTGCAATTGCAACATGAAACACAGAATTCAATAAAGTAAATTCACTGAAAAAAAAACTGTGTTCGAAATGTTGCGTTAACGTGACGTTAGGTCCTAGCGGATTAATTTTCCCGGTCAACCTGACAACGAGAAACCTCCCGAAACGACAAAGTGTTCCCAGGTTCACGTTGTTATCTATGTCCATTATCGCTTTCTGTACGATCTAGAAAACCGGAATCCGATACGCGTTTACCGCGACGGGTTGACGTCAGTTCTAACGTGGCGACCCTGTTATAACGGTGCACCTTTCGGTGCCTTTAACGGGTCGTTTATCAAAGGGTAGAGCCCTTCACCTTCGCCCGTGTCTCACGGCCCCGTTTTCGATCGACTTACTTGCGCCATGTTGATGACACCCTCGGCCAGGGTCTTATATCCGAGCATCGTACGATTTTTATAGCGTTTCCGTCTCTGCAGCAATATCAGAAGCTTGTTCCCGTCCCTCTTGAGGAAATGGGGATACTGGAGGGCGAACTGTAACTCCAGATCGGTATCCAGCATCCCACCGATCGGGATCGCCATCTCGTTCGAGCGCAACGTCCTTTTCGAGCCGTGCATCTTGACGGCGATGCTGATGGATGTCAGATCGGAGCCTAATGGCCGTAGAATCACCAGCCGGGTCAAGGTCAGAGAGCACAGCCTGGAACACACGAAGACCTCTGACTTTAGGTTTTGTTCATTATCACGTTAGCTACCGATATGAAAAGGGTTTCTACAAATAGCCGTGTACTTAGACACACCGACCACCTTTCTACTAATATTACCTACACAATAAACATACAATCGTGTTGAGTCTACAATACCCCGCCATTGAATTATGACCGAATAGAAAATTTTAGAGAATTTTGTTTTTCCCCTAAATAAAACAAAATTAATTTGAGTTTTTGTACATTGTAATAATATACATTTATTCGTACATTGTTGCTAGCACATTACAAAAAAAAAATACTGAATTTCAGTATTTAGTGTTTTCACTCCATCATCATTTTTCCACACTTCTTCGATATTTTTCTTTAATTGAACAATTGTAGTGTTTTTCCAGCTGTGATTTTAAGTAAAACCAACAGTTAGACCTTGTCATAATTGTTACTTTTTAGGAATACCTGGAAATTGGGATATACCATTTTATGAGTTAGGGGTGCAGGTAATACTCAACATATGCATAATCAGACATTTTCCCAAAAAAAGACAAAGATGTCGCCTGGTGCTCATTAAATTACAAAAATTCTTGGGAAATGCAATCGGTCATAATTCGATGGCGGGGTACTGTATATTTACTACTGATTGAAAAGAAAGCAATATAAGCTGTCGCTCCGATCGGAGACACTGATAAGAACCAAACGTTGACGAATGACTCCGATTGGAGCCGATGGCAGCGAAAGTGTTAAATGGCGAATTATTAGCTAATAGAATTGTTCAACCAATACGACTGGTTGATACAATATAGAAAATTTAACCTGTTAACTGGCACGGATTTCGATCGAAACCGTCCCTAGATGAGTGGTGACGAAGGGCAAGTTAGCTCGTCTTACCTGCAGTAGGTATGGATATGTCTTAATGTTATTTTTTGTATAAATAGAATAATAAACGTAATGATAGATAATTGTGGTAAAAAAATGTGTGACAAAAGGAAAGGAAAAAAAACATCAAAGGACATATCTATGTACTGTCTCTGTAGTGGAAATGAGAAACATAAATACATCAGATTAGGTTAGTACCGTCCACACATTCATAACCATTCGCCGTCTATTACGTAAAAAATAATATGTTAACTCGTTAAATCGTCGTTAATATTTGTAGTTTTCATACACTTTTATCTAATACATATAAATGATTAACATTAATCATCCTTAAAAAACTTCAATCCTCAGACAAACATCCAAAAAGACTATTCGAAAAATACGAGAGAATACTTTTTAAAAAAGTCCGAGCTCAAGTACATGAAATGAATAAAATAATTAAAGGACAAAATATATCTTTGAAAGAATAAAAGGTTAGAAACTGTATAAAACCAAAAGAAAATAAAACTGGATAGCTGAATCCACAAATCAAAGTCCAGGGCTCCATGCAGCTCGTACTAAAAATTCACCTATTTTTCAATATTGGTTATGGAGTACCATCACTCTTCACGAATATTGCTTTGTACCGTGTCGTTTGTTATACAATGGTACGTAGTTGAAAGCAATATATATGAAACGTCAGAGATCCAGAGATTTGCAGTGCTCGATTGCAATACATACTTCTAAACGGATTACACAATTGCATATTTTTTCTTCGTTGTTAACGTTAAAGGTGGTCCAAGAAATTTAGAGTAGTCGTCAAAAGTGAACCTCGTGTCGAGTGGCATGCAGTTCTACACAAAGATACTTTACGAGTTACTGCTGCACAAGATTCGTTAGTATCTATTGAAGAGCCGACACAGAAGTTGAAAGTACTTACGTTATTCATTAATTACCAACAAGAAGTTGTTTATTTTCATTAATGTGGATACCGATAACAAATCCCTTACTTATGGGATGACCAAATATTATATTGCTGCAAAACTTCTCACCCTTATATTATAAAAAGAAGTTTACATTTTAATTCACACTATGCTTAACAACTGGTCTGGAGGAGACGTTTTCTTGTCTGTTCAAGGACTGATGGACAGAATTTCTACCGCAATTTAATACAGGTGGTACATTAAATCCCCATTTATTTTACAGAAATTAGTGTACAGAGAACAAAACTCCAAGGGGATGTTGTTAGATGGATATTTTAATATAAAACTCAAACAATTTCTTCCATTAATTGCAAATTATCGATTCTGCAGGGATACGCGTGAGATTTGATAATGCCCCAAGAGAAAAAATCTTATTCTTTTTTTGGTAGAATTAGTGAAACAAATTATTCAAGTTGTACATTAAAATATTCCTTTAACAACATTACCTTGGAGTTTTGTTCGTTTCGCAACAATTTCTATAAAGCAAATGGGTTTTATGGACGCCTTGTAGATTCGCTGAACGAACGTTGGAGAACACAGAGTAACTTAGAACACACTGTACACCCGTCACGTGTAGGATCAATCTATATTTCATACGACACGGCATCGTAGTGACGTCTTTAAACGAACATGATTGTTATCGCTGTCTACGTACCGGCCCTGATCGATACCATTGTGCCGTCGTTTTTGCTTTAAGCTTCAATTTGGCCTGGTTTCAGAACCGGCCGTTCCCGATTCACTCTAAAAAAAAACCGTACGGTTTTTGCAATCTCGACGAGCCTCCTCGGCATTCATTTTCGATACAAACTATGCATGTATTCGATCCAACGATTCTTTAATTAACGACGACGGTGAAACGGTAACACTGTTGATAACGTGCAAACCTTTTTTCTTTTTGAACAAGGAGTAGTGAATAGTAAACGATACGATTCTGAAAACTTTTAATTCGAAGAATGTTTCAGTAAACGAATTTCAAAATGAAATGTGGTAAATTCTTAAGGGATTTTGTTAAGTTGTTTTCAAAGTTAATTAGATAAAACCAAATACATTTGGTGTCGTGAACAATGCTATTAAATGATTTTCGTCTATTATGAGACACCATGTCCCCCTCCCCCATTTTGATAAAAAGTAGAAGTAAATCTATGTATATTCCGATTCGTATTATGCACATACATTGAAAGCTTGTAGAAAACTTGTATACTTTGGATGGTAAATTACTTAAAAAATTAAAGATAAACATTTGTGACAATCCTCTACACTTCTGCATTTGTTAATTATACTTAGCGTTAATGAAAATACATTACTTGCTAATCAAGTAATTCTTTAACAAACCCCTGCTCACACCATCAAAAATATTTGCGTCAGAATAACTTTTGGTAGTCAGTTACGATTTTTAATAACAATCGTGTCAAAGACACTCTAATTGATTGTTTGTGGCATAATTTTTTAAGAAGTTTGAAACTTGTTAGTTCCAAAAATTGCAGGAAAACATTTTCTATAACACGCGCAAAAAGCTAAGAATTCACTTTTCAAAGTGTAAACCCTTCTCAGAGGGTACTTCTATTATTAAACAAAAACTTTTTGAAGTGAACTCGTACATGCTCAAAAAGAGCGTGAAAAACACGGTCGTCACAGTGTGTAAGCACATTTTGTACGGTACATCGGCGTGTAAACGAAATCTGTTCGTGGATCATGTCGTTCTCTTACTTCTTAAATGTCACTGAAAATTAACACGGGGAGTTTAGAATGGGTACACTTTGTAGACTTAATTTAGGCCTGTTCGTAATTTTCAATAAAACGTACCAATTCGAGATTTTTCTAAGTATTAGTAAATATTTAAATGGAGGTAACGTGTTTACTTATACGCATCGCTTTTAATAACTGGCAAAAGATTTAAGCTATTGTAGAATTCAATACTTCTATTTTATAACGGGATATACTAGATTAAATTTTGATATAACTATAGTAATAAAAGATATAGAAATGTTTCACGTTATAATTAAAACTATCATATAAAATATTTATAATATTCATTTTAAATTTGTTATCATAAACACTTGCCTCTTTTATAAATATGTATTACCATGCGCATGAATAATCCGTCTATGTATGTATAATTCTATATGACTCGTATAATACGGATTCATGTAACACGGAATGTAATCCCCCGTGTAACAGGAGAGGTCTACTGCAGTTAATATTTTATTACTCATCAAAGGAAAGAAATAGTGTTCACATGTATATAGAAAATTCTCGTTTTATAGAGGAAGTAACGAGTAAAGTATTAATTTGGGTAAAAACGTATAATTCACCCAAGTATAGGTACCCAATTAGAAGTCGTCTATTTTGAATGATTACAATTGCCAAACTCCAACGATGCAGACAATTGTCACGTTATAATAGATCTGAAATGCGGAACAAGTAGCAAAATCTATAAGGGGTAGAAACGCAATTTCAGTGGAACCATTGTGTCGGGTAAGGGGGAGGAGGACTTCTTTTTATTTTCAGAACGCATCCCTGGTTCGGGGGAGGATACTAAATATAACCCCCAGGGGTGATAAATAACCACAGGTGGTGCTTCTGTTTCGACCCGACACGAACGGTATTACACAACCGACAATAAGACTGTTTGTTTGGGAATGGATTGGAAAAAGAAGAGAGACGAGAGAACTCGACGTCATTGTTACGTATCAGGCCAGTCCATATGAATCATATAATCATCATCCGCATTTACAGTAGATAATTTTGTAAAAAAATTAGAATCTTTCTTTGTTATAACAATCAAAACGTTACCGTGAGGGAATAAGATTTTACATATTATTGTATTTATTAATAATAAATGAATCATGTAAATATTATTTTGTTGTAAATATTATGTATATATTCCTATTTTGTTGTAAATATCATAAATATTACTTATTTTGTTGTAAATATTATAGAGAATATAGAGGATATTGGGGCTAGTAAAGAAAACAGGATGAAAATCAATTCAATCTTATTAATGCCAACAAGCTAGCGTTAATGCAAACCAAGCAATATATCTGTAGTCTTTGTATAATTCACTTACTAATTGGCTTTTTGGAGTTACAAAAAGTAACGGCAAACGTAGTAAATAATAAAGAACTAATACATACACTGGGTGGTTCACCTATTGCGAC